TGTTTTGTCTATATATATATATATATATATATTTGACATTTTCAATATATCAATACCATTAATGATTTTTTATTTTTAATAATAGGAATCATTGTTAAATTCTTAAATTAAAAGTATGAATCATTTCTGTCCGCGTTGATACGTGCATTCATTCAATTTGAATGTGACCTTTTCGTACTAACTATGGCTCTATGTAAAAAAAAAAAAAAAAAAAAAAAAAAAAGCTGTGTCAAAGCTGTCTTTTGGGCTAGATCTGGTTAAAAACCACATTTTACAAGGAATGTTGAAAGTTTTAGTTGAAAATTCACACCTTTTCTCTCTTTTTTTTTAAAAAAAAATTTATTATCATATATCATTTACTCATAATTCGCCAAGAAAATTCGTACAAAGTAATAAATTTGATACCTTTACCTCACCTCATTGATTTATCATGGCCCTATGTTTTAAAGTGACATGTTTGGTAGCCGGATAATTAGATAATATTATTATATGTCTTTATTTTTTCGTAACGTTTTTATACTATCGTACTTTGTTTTAACTCACCATCAAATTGAGTCATCCTACTGCAATGGAAAGTAATGTCATATCTTAAAACACTATTTCATGGTCAAATTGAGTATTGACTCTTGGATTTTTTTTACTCAATTGATAGGAAATTATTTTTAAAGATGAACATTATAACATTTAGATAATCATAATCTAATTACTGTAAAAATCCAAAAACTAATTTAATAAAGAGCCTTTACAACAAGGGAAAATATATCATTTTTTGTCACAAGGTTTGATTGATCCCTGATCTTTCAAATAGAAGTGTATATATATGCTTACTATAAGTTGGTTGTCTGAAAATCCTTATTTAATGTAAAAATCTGTCAAATAAATTCAAGCAAAACCCTTCATTTGAGAACATTCACGATGTCAACGCCATAATGGTTTGGTTTTTAAAAGTTTATTTTTTTGAATTAATGTAAAGATCATTGTAGGAATTTATTGGACAATTAATAAGTGGTGAATTTTTATTTTTTATTTTTTTCTTCAAGAAAAGTAAAGGAAAAAAGAGAACGGAAGCTAAACTAAGGAAGCCAAAGCCCTAGGGGTCACATTAAGTGGTGTTATATAACAGGGTCACTCAATTATAGATAGTGATTCGAATCTACATTCCAAACACTAGGTACAATTCACCTAGATCTGGAAGGCTCATTCTATCAACCTTGTGTGATAATGCTCGCATTCAATCAGGAGACCTAGAATTTAACACACTAAAATTTTTTACCAGTCCACCACCTCTCAAGTTTCTATTTAAATGCTTAGATAACACATTTCTCAGAAGTTGCTTTAATGAGAAATAATTTGTAACCCTTTGGCTGTTGGGTAATGCCACGAAGATACTTCATAATTTTTCTACTTCAACAACTCTTCCATTCACATTCCATTGTACCATTCCTTTGCCCACTAGGATATTTATTGAGCAGTATCTATCATTTTCTCCTTTCCATTTTCATCACATAATTCATGTAGATTTTCTTTATATGTCAGTTGTATTACCATTTCCCACAAATATCTATTTCATTAATTTTATTTGGCTGAGGTGTATAATTAATTTTTTGAAATTTTTAATTAAAATAAATAAAAATCATAACATCAGTGGTAATGAATGCACAAAAGAAGAAAAAGAATATAAAAGTATCTATACTTAAATCAACTATAAATGGTAAAATATGAAAAGATTTCTTACATCTTTTAACAAATATATTTACAATTAATGATGTATGCAATGTAATTGTAGCAACCAAAAAAAAAAAAAAAGTAAAAAGGCAAATTACACTTTTCAACTTAAGACCCTTCAATTTTTAATTATAGTAAGTTCTCAAATTTTATCATGTGTTTTGATTTGATCTTTTTGTCACTCATTGTAAAAAATATTTAGAAGAAAAGTATTCATGTCAGCATGTTTTATGAGCGTTAGAAAAAAATTTATAAAACACAACTTTTCACTCAAGTTTCACTTTCATCTCTTATATTCAATATTCACTCAAATTTTCAATGGTAAAATCACAAGATTATCAGTTGAAAAATAGGATGAAATCTCAAGATTTAATTGTTGCAATTAAAAAGTGAAGAACAAAATAAAATTAAGTGATTATCCAAAGTGAAACAACAAAATCTAGGTACCACAAATTACCCAAAATTTTATTCAGAATAAAGTCTGGATCATATACTATGTTATTGAATAAAAATCTTATTACTTTTTTCTTGAATTTGGTTGTTTTGGATATGGTTTATAAATTGACATTTTTTATTATTACGAAAAGACGTGTAAAAAAATAGAGGAGTAATATAATCCAAATAAGCTAATAAACTGACTTTTTTAGTTTATCCCGAAAGTTTAAGTCAGCATTTAGAACTAATCTACATAATACATTTTTTTTTATAAATAAAATAAAATTTTACTTATTGTTTTTTAACTATTAGAATTGTATATTTATTTGGTATAACTGGTGAGATAAGAAAATAAAAGATTTTGGCTTATTGTGAGAGGTAAAATTTCAGAACATGATTAGAGCAAGGCCATGTGACCAAACTAAGATAAAGTTCATTGGAATGACTGAATTATAATACAGTAATGATACTGTTAGCACCATAAATCTATAATTTTTATTATTATTTATTATTTATATAATTGCAGGACACGTGGCATCCTCTTATTCATTTGGAAATTAAAAGAAGTTATAGAGATAATGGAGAATATGAAGGACAAAGTGGATGAGTGGGAGGACAAAGTGGATGAGTGGAAGGACACACGGCAAAACAAGAATGAAGATGGAAGAAATGGGTAGTTACTAAGTAGTTATTGCTGTATTTTTTCTTCTATAAATAGCCATTAATGGCTACATTGTAAAGGATCCGGAATTCATAATCAAAGACACTTGATTTCAATATTTCTTGTCATTTTCCTTATCTTAGGAGTAGTTTAACATAGATTTATATTTCGAAGCATTTATTTTCAGCATTTCCATTTCGAAGCATTTTATGCACTTTCTTTTCGAAGTATAAGAGTAGAGGTAAGTAATTATTACTTTGATTGTTCACTCAATCATCTTTCTCCGTCCCTTTTTCTTCTTTTACTTTTTCTTTTCGCTACACTTGGCAAAGCCGACGACCTGTGTTCTCTCTCTCGCCTCTGTTCAACTCAACGAAGAAGAAGAAAGAAAAGGAAGAAAAAAAAAAAAAATCAAAACCCAAAACGACGTCATTTTGAGTTTCGAGCCAGATTCGAGCCCTCTAATTTCGGGCCGTCAAACATTATTCATTATAATACTTCAGGAACAAGTAGGATTTAGAGGCAGCTCGTAGGCTAAAACTATCTTTTGGATTCAGATTGGTAATTCAAACAACCAGACGAGGTCAACGTGTAGCCCAATGAACATGGACCTTATCATTCTTAAAAATTCGTGAACATGGGATATGAATTCATATAAAACAGAAGGAACATGAGGAGTGGTAAAGAATTCTCAACCGCCCCCTACAGTTATATGTATCCCTTATAAGCACAACATCTCAACCCAACAAAGGTACAAAACTATCTACACTTTTACATTCAACTTTTTAGTATTCACATACTGATTTAAGTATTGGAGAGTCCCCTGACCAACTAACAGTCGGAATTCTTCCTTTTTTTAGGGTTTTCAAGCAATCTACCTTTGAGTTCATGCCAATTCGCCACCATTGCTAAGTGTGGTAAATCTTTCCCCCAAGCACTTATCATCTAAGTGTAAAAAGAAAATAAATAGTTATATTATCTCATTATCATGTTTGCCTGAGTTAGAAAACAAAATATGTGAAAAAGAATATGGGCGGATTTTTTTTCTTTGTATTTTAATGAACCATATTGATATTATAAAAATTTTACAACAAAATTTATTTTTTACCAAATCACATCACTTTTAGATTGTATTTCGATCAACAATTTGAGTAGAAATTTGCCAAAGAAAAAAAAGTTCTAAAAAAAATTAATAAAATTTGACTTTAAATAGATAATATAAGAAAGTAAAAGAAAAAGTTATTTTTTTTATATATATATATTTATTTAGATAGAGTGTCCTATAAAGTTGGAAATTAAAGTTAAGCTAATTAACAACTCAAATTAACTTGTTAGTTAAGCTAACAATTTCTTACAAAATATACAAAGAAATTTATTTTTTCCCACAAATCTTTTCTTTTTGTCCATATTTCTCTCTGCTATGCATTGATTATATATATATATTTTATTATTTTCTTATAAAAATTTTCATCTACCAAATACATATAAAAAAAAAATAAATTATAATTTTTTTTTTTTCAATTTACTTTCTATCATACATTTCTTTATAAATAGAGACGTATCAAATATTTTCCATGACGCCAAATACAAATTTTGTGATAAATCTTGTCTCATTATTTTCTGACCAAATCATGTGATCCAAACAGACAGCAAGAGTGAAAACGTGTGTTGGGGTTGGGACAAAAGTTAAAGAGGTAAATCCCTAGTCCCACACACTCCCCATTAAGCACACTCGTAAAACACACAAATACACAGGAGTGCGAGAATCTGAATGCGTGCGTGTGAAAGTTTTGTCTCGGCGGAATTGGAGGGAGTTTCTCTATTTTCATTCAAGTCCTCCGTTTCCATCAATCATCATTAACATTTCATAGCTCTCTCTCTCTCTCTCCTCTTCATCTTCTTTAGCCCGCTCCTTCTAAAACCCTAGTCATGTGAATCCCCATTCCTCTCTCTCTCTAGATCTGCACATCTCTTCATCTCTCCATTCAACTCAAAAACTCATTTCAATATTGAAAACAAGAGCACACTCAAATGAACCTCTAAAATGGGTCTTCTGGGTTTCCTCTGTTTCAGTCTCCTCGTTGTTTGAACTTTTCAATCTCACAAATTTCACTAATGTCACAAATGCGCGGCGGCGGAGGCGGTGGCGGTGGGTTTGATCCGAGCAATCTACATTTGAAGAAGGAACTAACCCAAATCAGAAAAGCCGCTAAAGTGTTGAGAGATCCAGGGACATGCTCTTCCTGGCGGTCCCCTCTCAGCTCCGCCAGATCCGCCGTGGCGATGAATGCAGCAGCTTCGTCTTCCAACCACCAATATCACCACCACCACCACCACCACCACCGCAAGAGCAGCATAACCGCCGACCCATTTCGAGTCGAAACCAATGGCGGCAATTCGAGAGACAAGAAGGTGTTTCTCTACAATTGGAGGACTCAGAGATCGTCGAGCGAGAAGAGCATATCGACGACTGTGAAATCGGAGAAGAGAACTCGGCTTGATGATGATGAAGATTGTGATGATGATGGGAATGATGGATCGTCTTCTTCGATTCCAGAAGAGAGTATGGAAGATAGCTTGAGCGATGCGCGAAATCGTGGTGGAGGAGGAGACTCCAAGAGTGATACTTATATTGCTGATCGGTATGCTTCTATGATCTTCAAATGCGAAGGCACAAACTTTACTCATTCGATCAAACGTAATGCGATTAAGAAGAAATCTAAGAAAAATACCCATTTAGCTAATTTATTAAGACAACAAATTGTTCAAACTAGGAATTCAAAGCAAGCTTTAGAGGGTTTGCCTAAAATTGCTTTAGGATTGGGTAGAGATGACTCTGTGAGTCTGGTTGCCCAATCTGATGATACAGAGGACTATTGTAACTCTGAGGATTTGCGGCGATATTCAGCTGCCTCGCCGTTGCTTTCGAGGCTTAAGCACAAGAATTGGTCTCACTCATCATCTAAATTTTTGAGAAACAGTCGAAAAGAGGACTCGTCTTACTCTTATAGTACACCGGCATTGTCAACGAGTTCTTACAATAGGTATGTGAATCGGAATCCAAGCACAGTTGGATCTTGGGATGCCACAACTGGGTCCTTCAATGATGGGGATGATGAGGTGGATGATCAGTTGGATTTTTCGGGTCGGAATGGATGTGGGATTCCTTGTTATTGGTCAAAGAGGTCAACCCCAAAACATAGAGGGGCTTGTGGAAGTTGTTATTCGCCTTCGCTTTCTGATACTTTGAGGAGAAAAGGAAGCAGCATTTTGTGTGGTGGCCAAAGTATGTATCATAGTCGACGTAGGGGATCATCATCCGGTTCCAAAAAGAGAAGATTTGCTTCTAGGACTGCTCGAGGACTTATACCATTGCTAACCAATAGTGGTGATGGCCATGGAGGCTCGTCTATAAATAGTGATGATGAGCTCTCGACAAACTTTGGGGAGTTAGATTTGGAGGCTTTGAGTCGGTTGGATGGTAGGAGGTGGTCGGCTAGCTGTAGAAGTCAAGAAGGATTAGAGGTTGTAGCTCTAAATGGGGAAGGAGATGGGGAAAGTACACCGGAAAATATCAGGAGCTTAAGCCAGAAATATAGGCCAATGTTCTTTGAAGAATTGATTGGGCAGAACATTGTTGTTCAATCTCTTATGAATGCAATCTCAAGGGGAAGGATTGTCCCGGCTTATTTATTCCAAGGTCCTCGTGGGACTGGGAAGACATCTACGGCCAGGATTTTTGCTGCTGCCTTGAATTGTCTTGCCACTGAAGAAACTAAACCATGTGGGGTGTGTAGAGAATGCGGGGATTTCATCTCTGGTAAGAACAGGGATCTTAGGGAAGTTGATAGCACCAGTAAGAAGGGAATTGAAAGAGTTAGGCACCTTTTGAAAAACTTGTCAGTTGGGCCTTCATCGGCGTTTTTGCGATACAAAGTTTTCGTTATTGATGAGTGTCATTTGTTGCCTTCTAAGACGTGGATGGCATTGCTCAAGTTTCTTGAGGAACCGCCTCCACGTGTTGTGTTCATATTCATGACAACTGATCTTGACAACGTGCCCCGTACTGTGTTGTCCCGGTGCCAGAAGTACATCTTTAACAAAATCAAGGATAACGACATTGTGGTCAGGTTGAGAAAGATTTCTGCTGACGAGAATTTAGATGTCGAAGCAGATGCACTGGATTTGATTGCATTGAATGCAGATGGTTCGCTTCGAGATGCTGAAACTATGCTAGACCAGTTGAGTTTGCTTGGAAAGAGAATTACTACATCTCTTGTGAATGAACTTGTAAGTTTGCTCTATCCTTCCTTTACATGATCTACTTTTGAGTGCTTCTCTTTTTTTATGATTGAACTTGTTCCAAATAGAGTCTCCATAATAATATCCTCCTCACGGCTTCTGTCCAATTTGCTGTTTTATGTCTAGCATGAGCCAACGTAGTTCGGATATGTTACCTAGAGCACTGATTGGTAGTTCGGATATGTTACCTAGAGCACTGATTGGTAGTTCGGATATGTTACCTAGAGCGCTGATTGGTCTAGGATGAGGAACGGGAACATAATACGGCATTGTAAAATATGATACAATAGGGTAGACTTCTTAATTTGGCGGCAAATATATTGTGGTGTATTTTTCTTCATATTAATCGTTCAACATCACAAATTGTTTTATTTTTTTTAATGAGTATTATGACCATTGTTTTACATTTGTCAATCCGAAACTCCACAAGGCTTAGGACCACCACTTTGTGCATTATGCCAAAGGTTAGGTGTGTATTCAGTCTTTCTCCTCCCAAACACATTAATGTGTACTAATTGGGCGTTATTATTTTTTATTTTTTTATTTTTTGTTCAGTCACTGTTTAGTTAAGTGGTTTAAAATTGTTTAATTTACTTTGTTTTCTGCAGGTTGGGGTGGTTTCTGATGAAAAGTTACTGGAACTATTAGAGTTAGCCATGTCATCGGACACTGCTGAAACGGTAAAAAGAGCCAGAGAGTTAATGGACTCGGGGGTTGATCCAATGGTTGTGATGTCTCAGTTGGCCACCCTCATTATGGATATCATTGCTGGAACATACCAAATCATAGATTCGAAGTACAATGATTCATCCTTTGGTGGGAGAAGTTGTAAGTACCACCCACTTCACTCTTATGCTGCTTTTTCTTCAATATTATAAGCTTTTGGACATAGAAGATTGTCGATTTCTAAATTTTAAGGTGTTGTTCAATATTAATATCAGTCCATGCGTTCAATTCGTCTTTTTATTTCAAAGTCAATGGTTTGCAATGGAGACCACCTAGATAAGGTAACAATGACAGGTCATGTTACCTTTGGAAGCTTTAAATTGCCTTTATATGAAGCAGCTGCAGCATAAATAAAAGCTGTTGAACTCATCTAAATTCTAGTAAGAGCAACGTAGACTTGTACAATCCTATGCAGATCACAATGGGGGATTCAGCATCCATGAGATGGGCAGATCTCCCATCAATATGGAGATAAACTGTCCATAAGCATGCAATGCCTTTAGTTGGGCGACTTGTAACTATTTACCGATAAATTAATCAGTTCTGCAATTATTTGTGGGTTCTGCCGTGAATTTAGTTCATGGATTGATTGGTAACCAACATTGGAGTCAAATTAATAGAATTGTGGTTTGTGTCAGCGTGTAAGATTAGTTACATGCCCTTATTGACCCAGATTTTTATTCCTTTTTTGCGCCGAATGAAAATAGAACAAATTATAGGATTCTCAATTCTAGGTCAAAACTCACACAATCTCTGATGGATTATATATCATGTGACGCATGAATGACTTTCTTGCAGTTTTGATATCATTAGATTCTACACTTGCCCCCTAATAGAGCATTATATCAGCTATTGTGGTCACTAACCTAACAGAAATTTCAAAACATCCTTTTCTGTTCAATTTTGAATTCCTATATTTGTAAGTAACTTGATATATTTACTGCTGTGACTCGGAGCCTTTTTTTATGGTTGGAATATTCTCCAGTGACTGAACCAGAATTGGACAGACTGAAGAATGCTTTGAAGCTTCTTTCAGAGGCTGAGAAACAGCTAAGAGTTTCAAGTGAGCGTTCCACATGGTTCACAGCAACCTTATTACAGCTAGGATCAGTGTCTTCATCAGATGCAACTCAGTCAGGAAGCAGTAGGAGGCAGAGCTCAAAGACAACTGAGGACGATCCATCTAGTGCTATTAGAGAGACTATTATGTCCCAAAAGCAGAGGCTTGATTCTCACTATACCCCCCAAAAGTCAACTTCTCCTTCCTCCTTGCCTAAGGGTGCTCTCCAAAATTTGACCAATCAAGAGGATCATTTCCTACTAACTAATGGTCCCAATATCAATTCCGAGCAAACGCAATGCCGTTTTTTGAATGATGGTGGTGATCAGTCAGCTGTCTCACACGATGATGTTGTGGTCGGTAGTTTGATATCAAGATGCATAAAATCAGTTAAGTTGGATGATATATGGGTGCGATGTATTGAAAGATGTCATTCTAAGACACTGCAGCAGCTGCTTCTCACTCATGGGAAGCTCATCTCTGTCTCCGAAGTTGAAGGTTAGGACACCCTTTTACGTGCTTTATTTATCTTCTACTTGTTGAAGAATATTTGGTGTGAGACATATATTATGTTAATGTTCATTTACAACATCATTTTATCATCAATACTTAAGCTGTTGTGTACCAAAAGGGAGAGAAAACAAAAGACTTGCTGAGTTTGTTTAGCATGAAAATAGTGGAAACTACAAGAAGGTTAATTTTTTTTGTACAACCCATATTAGCATTATATCTAAGTTTTTAATTTCTTGCAAAAAAAAAAAAAAAAAAACACAGGAAATTTTAAATTTATCTGTATAAGAGGTTACCCAAAATTAAAATTTCAAATTTCTCTATAATTGTTTTTTGCCAAAATTTCATCATAATCAAATGTTTGCAAAAATATATATATTTTCCTTTCCATTTCTTTTCTTTCACTTCACTTTCTTTCATTCTTACTTCACACCTCTTTTTTGTTCTTTCTAATTAAACGGAGCCTTGGCAATTTCAAGAGCAAGGAGTTACAAGATTTTAAGCTTCATTTTCTATTTGCAAAGCCATTGCTTAGAAATTTTAGTTGACAGTTGTTTTGTTACATAATTCTTTCACTTACAATTTACAAAGCTGTTGTGTGGTGTCTAACATGTCCTGTTTGCAGGTCTTTTTATTGCTTATGTTGCGTTTGGGGATAAAGACATTAAAGCCAGAGCCGAAAGATTTTTAAGCAGCATCACAAACTCATTTGAAATTGTTTTGCGATACAATGTAGAGGTTAGAATTATACTGTTGCCAGATGGTGAAACTTCCATAAACAGTGGGAAAACAGTTGCATTGTTAGATTCTTTGGGTCAGAAGCAGATGGACACAACTGAGATGATTAACAGGGAAAGAAAAGCAATTTGCTCAAAATCTACGGATGGGCTTTCTGATCTTGATTTGCGTCGGGAACCGCTGAAAGTATCTAGTAGAAGTTTTGATGATACTCCTATCCCATTGGCAGAAGGGAACACTAAAACAAGTGGTACGAAGGAGAGGGTTCCGGTGCAGAGAATAGAATCGATTATCCACGAGCAGAGGTTAGAAACTGCGTGGTTACAGGCTGTGGAGAAAGGTACTCCCGGATCTTTGAGTCGTTTGAAACCTGATAAGAATCAAATCCTGCCTCAAGAAGGCTTATATCCTCAAAATCAGATGGAATCCATAAATTCCATGGATTTAACATCCCAGCGTTGGGAAAATGAATTAAACCATGAAATCAAGATTTTGAAGATTAATGATGAAAAGGCAGTCCAGAAGGACCAGATTGGTAAAAGGATCGATCACTGCCCCATCTCACCAAGCTTGTTGCATGATAGCAGCTTTTTGGGCAATTTCAGCAAAGAGAGCATGTGAGTTCTTGACATCCTTTTTATTTATTATACGTGTGTTTGCTAGTATGTGTCTTTAATTTTCTGGTTGATATACCGCCTCCGTTAAGCATACAGAACTTTATATTGACAAATGAAACATTAAACTCTTTGTCATGAACTAATTAAGTTTTATAAGATGCAGTCTAGACCTAACATATTGATATTGAATTTGGTTGGGCTTTTGCCTTGAAAAAGTTTACGAGATTCATAGGCTTCAGATAAAATTTCAAGAAAAGAAATGCTAAATCTGAGCCGTTTTTAATGTCTTCTTTACTGAATTAGTATGAATTTGTCAACAACTATGTCTGCTTTTTGCAAAAGAAAATGTAGTAGTCATACACCATCTCAACACCTTTGTGCTTCTTCCTAATATTGATATCTGAATAAATCCAGCAATTTTGATCTTAATTATAACAATTTTGATCTTAATTATTAGTATAGGAATAATAGTTTGTGTATATAAAGTTTAGTTCTTACGAGTTGTTTGTTTGTTTGAGCAAAACCATTTTGAACTTGGTAGTAAACTATTGAATTAATTACTTATGATATTGATTGGTAGGTATATAGGAATAATAATTAGTGTATACACAATTTAGCTCTTATGAGTTGTTTATTTAGCAAAACCATTTTGGACTTCGTAGCAAAATATTGAATTATGGCATTCAAATTACTTGTGTGGTATAGCTGTTTAGTGATACATTGAGTCTTATGAGTCTTGGCCAAAGTGTGTAGGCTTTTATATGTTGTAAAATGCCAATATGCTTGTCTTGTTGTTTCTACAGGGGATACGAATCGGGGACGGGAGCTGGGGGTTGCAGTGGCCTTTTCTGTTGGAATAATACCAAACCTGATAAAAGGGCAAAGGTATGCTGTTACATAAATTTTGTTTATTTATATATTTTTCCCCATGTGTTTAGAACTGGTTTCACTCATCAAATGATACATATATTATAAACGTAATGCATGCAATCAGGTTAAACAAAGGACTATTGTTCGATCAGACAAAGGTGTGCGATTTTCATGGTTCGGAGAATGTGCCAAGCCGAAGAAGACTGAGAATAGAATCAGAGGATAAGAGCAATGTGTTTCTCCTCCTTCGTAAAATATATTTTTTTAATATTTACTTTTCGTGTAGAGCCATTTTTCATGGAAATCGGGGTATTGAAGAGAAGAATGTAAAGTTTGTGCAGCTGGATTCCTGCAGTTCTCTAGATCCGGCCAATTTTTGTGAAAGCAAATAAGGAAAAAGAAAAAGAAAAAGGGACATCTTCTCCCCCATGAAGAACAATTCCTTGCATTACTAGTATTTTGGATGAACTTTAAAAGAAAAAAAAAAAGAAAAAAATCATCAAGGTCTTGTTTGGCTCCATATAGACTATAGAACGAAATGAAAAAGACGTAAGAATGGGAAATAGTGGCATATGTTCCAATTTTCGGTTCATATTATATTTGTGTATATATGCAGCATGATCAGAGATGAAATGCCCATTTCTCGATCACCAAGCATGTCTCAATTTATTCAGTACTTGGGCTTCTAGGGCATATTCTGATTCTAGCTATGGACAACAAGGGTTGTATTGATAACTATTGGACAACACAGTTTCATGGACCGGAAACAAATTCCGATTCCAGACAGTGCCTGATGTAGCTACCCGGTAATTATTCAGTTGTTCTAGGGCACCAACTCTAGCTCATGCTCGAACCGCTAAGGGTTGTAATTATGGGATGAGTGGAGCTGATATGACCTATTATGGTCGGCTGGATGGAAACTGTCTATTCAGTAGTAGTTTAAAAGCTTGGTTTATATTTGCAATTTAGATGATTGCTTTATGATATTGTTAGTTAATTTGGATTTTTATCACACTGCTCTTCTTTGCAAGGAGTAGTTTTACTTTGGATTGTTAAGTTAAGAATTATCAAACACAAATTTACTTTGTCGTGCCTGACGAGAAACTGAACGAAAATGTCACTAGTGCTTCAAATTCTTACACATTTCACGCCACGCCAGTGGATTATTAATGACTAGGGGTGATTGGGGATTGCTGTTATCTGTCACCTAACTGATTGAAGTTCGAGTTGAGAAAATCACATCTACATCTAATCACTCATGGTTTCTAAATCAACTGAGTGGGTTGGGCAAGTGAATGTGAATTGGGTTGGTAGATTAAACAAATATTTTACCAAAAATGAAAAAAACAAGTCCTATTTTATGAGAAAATATTAATTTTTTGACTAAACATTGAGAAGTCCGGTTTGGTTTCCCTGAAAAGTCTGAAGTGTTGCTTTTAAGTTTTATTTATTTTTTATTTATTGAACAAATAAATAATATTTATATATCATTATATATGAAGAGTATCTAATTCCATGCGATCCAATTAGGTTTTGTCGATTGGCATTTGTATATTTGCTACCCACATCCGTTTGTCCGATGAACTAAAATTGTTCATTTGAGATCAAGTTGAGTTTGATTGGACAGGTTGGCGGGTTAGCTAGATGTTTGCCAAACCTTAGTAATGACATGAAAAAAGTAGTTGATTGTTGTTGTTTGATGAGGCAAACAGAAATAAGCCTCAAGTTCCTTTTAACCAAAAACCCAAAGAAAGAAGCCTAAGAAGTGCAAAATAAGGGCCCCGGATGAAGAGCAATAAAAAGAGTCCCAAAATAGCTACTATTTGGGTAGCATTCAAATGGTATTAGAGCTTACTGGTTTGATAATCAGATTGAAAGCAATACACAATTATGATTCTAAGCTGTTAAAAAGTTGCAAAACAAGTGAAAAACTAGGAAATCAATAATATTTGTTTACTTGCAACATGTTTGACCTTAAAAGTGCCAAACCCGCAGCTTTACTGCATTGACAGATCGTGTCATTGCATCTCATCTCCAACAAAATTTTTGTCCATTTCTTTCCATCATGACAATAAAGATCCTAGTACCTTTCTTCAACCAACTACTGATTATACCTAACAATTTCCCAATTCGACATCATTAATTAGAATCATACTATTATTTTCCCATCAATTTTATCATTTATTCGTTTTCTACTAGCTGCCATTAGAAATATTTCAATGAGTAAAAGTAGTTCCATTCCAAAACCCTCTATATAAAAAAATGAATTTCGAAAACTGTGTTTTTCAACCCAGATCTGCCCACGAGGGGGAATTTTACTACGATGCCTCTGAGGAGCTGATATTCAATATCCTTTCTGCAAGTAATAAATCATCAGGAGTCGTAACCTGCAGATCATAAAAGACTTCGCATATTAGTTCATAAATGAAAAGTAAAACACGGTCATGTATTGAGCTTCAAGACAATGAGAAAAAAATGAATTGAGTCTAAATTGCATGTGTGAAACCACAAGGTCACAGTTCTGCGTTGAATTATTAGTCCACCTTTACCCTCAAGATCATAGAGCAAATTTCACTACCTTGATGTTGGTGTAAGATCCTTCAGTTATGTATACGGGATGTTTGAGGTGCTCCACAATAGATACATCATCAATGACTTCAAGGCCTTCCCTGCAGATACACTTGAATATCAATCTTTTTATTACAAATAAATTATTAGAAATTTGATAAACTTTAGAACAAGTATCATAATTAGATGGCAATTCTCAGCTCATTGCTTGAGTGCACTAGGAAGGTCTTGACAATATCTTCACAGTAAAAAGCAATATTTACAATAGTATACACTTACGATTCACATATTCTTGCTGTTAATGTTTTTCATTACAATATATAATGCCTAGAAAGACATGTAGGACATTTCATGTCCAAGCTTGACATTGAATTTTTAGGTTCCCGTAGACTGCCTAGAAAAACATGGACAACATATTCATCCCAATCACACGTAATAAAAATTCAATATCAAGCTTGAACATGCACATTGGGGTTTGGCCCAATGGTCTTGTAGCCACACCATAGGATGTGGTGACGAGGAGATCAAGGATTCGAGTTGATGGAGTAGCAACGAACCCTTTTAGTTGTAATCTAATTATACTAATACTATCTTTGTAGGAAAAAAAAAAACCTTGGACATGATTCAATCTTTGTTTACTCATCCATTCAAAGAAGGAAGAAACACGCCAGGTATTTGTTAGAATATACTAGCCCATGAAATCCAAAAACTACTGCACATTTGTAAAAAAAATAACCGGAATGGTCAAGTACAATTTCAAACAGAATAACAGAGAGCTGTACAACAACAGAATTATAAACAACCTATTAACAAGTTCAAAACCCTTCTTGAGCAACTCCAGCTTAATGACCTGGGGGAAACAAAGAGAGGAAAATAACGCAGTTATGTCAATCACTAATTCAAAACTAGATATGTGGTAATAAGAATCAAGTGAATTCCAAGTGTTTTCAACAGTAAACCTGTGGGGTTTGCATTTCCCATAGTGTTTTCCTGTCCAGAGTTTTTACTACATAGGATTCACTATTTGCCTGCACAGAAGTTTGGAAATAAATTTCATAATTCATTACATAGATAACAAGGTCAAAGTCATTCAATTGAAATGGTTTACAATACATATTATGAAAACTATTTCAAAGGGAAACTATGAGACAGTAGATTATTAGAATAATTTCTTCTGTTTCCCATGTGTAGACAATGCAACAAGTCTAGCGAGGAAAATGTTGCATATACAATGAAGTTGCTGTCCACTGATTATGCAAGAGTTGCATTGATCAGTAAAAAATATAGTAACAGGTATCTAATATATTAATGAATATAAGTCCACATACAAACTTTCAGTTTTTTGTTAGCGTCATAACAACTCCCTTTCTGCCATTTAACAATAAGAAGCTCAGTTCACTCATTTTCAAGCAAAGCAATATCTAATCAAATAGAAAATATACCAAATCACAAGACTAGAAACAAATGATTGTGAAAATTAGTGGCTAGATGAGGATGCCGAGACAAGGTGAATGCTCTAGTGAGAAGTTCAAAAGCACAATAACTGGTGCCATTCCTTGTTCACTCACATCAGGTGAAGATCACTGTAGCAGTTGATGAAAAGAAGAGAGCAATTCGGTAAAGATGGTTGGTCATAGTGATACAAGATTGAGATGACAGCCATAAAATACATGAGTTGTAGTCATATAAAATGATGGCATTTGATATTAGCACAGATAGCTGAATAGCAAAATATAACAGGAAAGTTTGAGGTGATATCTAACTACAAGGTGTTGGTTGGAACTTCTGGTATGACTTGTTTATTTGTGTGGTCAGCCATTCATTGGGAAGATTCAGACAGTCAATAACCAAAGAAGAGAGGAAAATTTTCCCCAGTTGGTGTGGTATGCATAAGAAAGCAAGGAAGGAAATCAAAGAATAGCCTTTGTAGAAGTTGTAGGTTGGCTCAGGAGGCTTGATCTATATTGTTGCCCTTGTTTGAGATGGCGGGTTTTCACAACATCAGTTGCTGCTCCTTTTCTTCACTAGTAGGGTGCACTTGGGGAGAGAGTAATTGGCAATCTTTTGAAGTAGTAAAGGCAACAAAAACATATTTTTTGGGTCCTTCTAGTAGGGTGACTGGGAAGGTTAACCCAACCCCTGATACATTTTTGAATTCTGCATACAATGTAGATTTTTTCCTGTATAGTGGCTTATAGTTTTATTTCTCAATATCAGCCATGTACATTTGCAATCCCTGGCACGACTTTTACATATAGAAGTCCAGCTTCAACTATTACATATAGAAATAACTGACATTATTACCTCTTTTATTGTAGCTTTTGCAGGAACACCAAGTACTGCTGCTCCATTCAGCCAACCGTCCTTAAGAACCTGACCCAAAATAGCAAATCTGATTCTTGAGGATACATTTCTGAACTGTCAAGGAAAATTGTCTGAAAGAAATAAAGAGTAAAACTAAAGCTATTCAGGATAATTTAAGTTACACTTCAAATATTTGGAATCATATGCCATGTCGGAAACAGGATTTCATTATCGGTAGGGCCAAAAGGCGAATAATTTTTTTCATCATATACATAAACAGACATATATATACAATATGATACATAAATTATATATATACACATTAAACAAAAATTCAAACACCATGGAAACAATCTCTAATAAGATTAAAAAGCTTTTTTAGTACAAAATAAGAAAAGAATGCAAAAGAATGAGATATATATTTTTTAAAAGTATTCTGACAAATAGTATATTTCACAAAAGTAGGGGGGCCATGGCCCCTCGTAGTCTTTTTCTAGTTCCATCCCTGCATGCAACACAGCAACCAACCCCAAGGGGTTGGCCTAGTGGGTAACAACTTGGGGCCTAGGGGTGTGCTCCCTTTAGGTTTTAGGTTCAACTCCCATTAGGAGCAATCCGCTCCTTGGGGCCACGTCCGCAGGCTTTGCCCGAGATTTGCCCGATCCACGTGGAGGGGACGCTTTGTGTAGGTCCCAAGATTAGTTGAGGTGCGTGTAAGCTGGCCTGGACACCAGATCATCAAAAAAAAAAAAAAAAAAAAAACCACAACAACCCATTAATTAACATGTTCCTCCAATAACTACAACAAAAATACTATAGAATGAATATAAAAACTTTTCTAGTTATGTCAAGCAAGTAAATCCAAATTAAATTGCACTCACTACATGGAATCTCCGTCAACTAAAATTTAATCTCCATACATGGTTACAAGTAAGCAAAGATGCAATAGATTTGATGCTTCCTACTCTAGTGAGATCTTAACATCTAAATGCCAGCAATTATCAGCAATGTAATTAAATATAGCGTTTTGAGTTTTTGAAATCACTTTGTTTCTTTTCATTTTGTGCTTATATTAGTGTGAAAGTCATGTCAAAAAAATCGTAAGGATGGCCAATAATGACAAAATATCCTCCAAACACATTCATCCACAAAGTAAACCAGACAATCATATCCAGTGCACTCAGAAAATCAAAAAGAAGAAAAAGCATTTCAGATCCCTTATCTTTCTTAACAGAACTTCAATTAATTATGTAGTAAAAATACAAGAACAGAAAATAAAGCTAAAGGAACAAACAAAAGCACTATAATATGAGACAACATTATGAGGAGAGAAACATGATCTAAATTTTGAAACTGATAGCCGCTGTTTGTTGAGGATTCAGCGTCCTTTATAGTCTCTTGGCACATAACAAATCAGCAGAAATATGCAATGCTTCATGCATAACGTGGGAACATCTCAGAAATCCAATAGAACTTTTTGGCCCGGTATTATAAGCCTAGGCTGAAACTGAAGAGCTCAGAGTTATGAGTGAACAACAGTCAAATACCTAACAAAGTTAACTTCATAAAACATGAATTCCCTGCCAAAGTGGCAGATCTAATAAAAACACAACAAAATAATGTAAGAAAATTGAATTTTTTTTATGTTAAGTCAGCAGAATTGTGCTGCTTGTTGGTGCAACAAACTTGAATTAGTTGTTATGACACTAAGGACTAACTATATACACCACATATACAGATGCCAAATATAAAGATAAGCAACCTTTTCTATCTATCTCTTACAAAAAGAAAAACTACAGCTACCATAATGTCCAGAAACTTTGCTTTCCAAATAAATAATTTCTGAGAACAACTTCATTCAAAGCACTAGATGTGTAGAACAAAGTTCCCGACAGCAAACCTTTTTGACATCTCCAGTGGTCACCAGAGGTCTAGCAGAATCATGGATGCAGACAAGTTCAGACTTTACATCAACTGCCTGTAAACAAAACAGTATGTATCAGTTAAAAAGTTTGCCAATAGAAAAATGCCTTTGTTTAATAAATATTTGGAAAGAATGTCCTCATTTCTTCCTTTTAATTGGTCAATAAAATTAATTTTGTTGTTGATAAAAAAAATAAAAAATAAAAATGGAAAGAATGACAAACTAATTCAAACGAATCCCACAGGTTACAACCCAATACATTCACAAGTATTTAGACATTGTACACGATCAATTTACTACAGGCAAGAAACAAACTTCTGAAAACCATTCTGGCTTGCTAGAAGTATTAGACTGTGGCTATCCTTGTGGATGCATGCCAAACACAAATCAAATAGGAATGTCTCAGAAGAGTTGCTTCAAGTATGGGATGATACCTTAATGTATAGAACTATTTAAAAACATGAATAATAGCAACAAACCGTGACTAAACATTACCTATCAATATCATTTAAAATGTTTTAGATGAATCCTTTTGTCACGTTGAAAGGTTGTTAGGGTTGGTTAAATACTTAATTGTCAAAATAAACTTCAATGTAGAGACAGAAGATGGTTTACTTTTCACAGTAGTTAAGAAAATTTTTAAGACTGCAAAGAATTTAATATCCTCATAAACACAATAGCACACGTAAGATTGTAATTATCTCTTCTGTCATGTCAGCTGTGCTAGGTTGTTCATTTGCAACTATCACCAATTAAATCGTCATAATGTGCTTTCTTATTATTTCTAACATCTTAATAATTTTTCTTACACTTGATTTTGCATAGTATTGACAGAAACTGAGTCAAATCAGTAACAGAGTTCATATGGGATATGCTGCGACCACAACTGAGGCGAACAAACCCACTTTAAAAAACCTTCACTGCTCTACTAAGCATCAGGTTTGAATTTTACAGCACATGGCATCAATGAAAGCTTGCATTGTAATAGCATGAGAAGGAATGAAAGATAAGAACTCCATTGACAAATTTCATTAAAAAATAAATGTTTCTGAATTTATTTCTCAAGCAAACAACAATGCATCCCCTGTAGCAGTTTCAAGCTATGAAGCACGGACCCTTCAAAATTAGTGCCATGGCGGTGTCCGACACGGGGACATGCCGGGGACACAGGGACATGCCGGGGACACATACGGGACACCCCAGATGGCGTGTCCCTTTAATTTAATGATTTTTTTGTAGGGGACACGGCAGGGACACACATGTCCATATGGGGACACGGCATGGGACACGGCAGGGCTTTTTTTTTTTTTTTTATAATAATCTTTTGCTTCTCTTATTTAGTACTTTTGTGAAAAATATTGTTGGATGTTGAATGTTTTCCCCTTCTCGTCTTAGTTCTTATTATCATTTATTATGACTTTTTTGTGAATTTTTTGTGTATGGATGATCTATTAATTTGTTTAAATGTAATGATTATGTTTATTCAATTAATGTTACTATGTTAGTGTTTGTTAATTTTAATTTAGAAAAAATGTAATATGAATTTACATAACACATAAAAATATATAAAATAAATAAAATAAAATTCGCCGTGTCCCCCGCCTTGTCCGTGTCCTCATTTTTTAGAAATTGCCGTGTCTCGTGTCCGTATCGGTATCCGTGTCCGTGCTTCATAGGTTTCAAGTATAATTTCAGCAACCAAGTTAATATAAGGAAAGATCCTGACACTACACAGGTATACTTATGAAACAAAAGAGCACAACTAAGATATCCTTACACACTTCAAAAACCACAATCAACTTTTCTTTATTTTCATTATTTTTTTCTTCTTTGACAGATGCAATCAATTATGATTTTTAAGCAACTATGCTAACAAAAATAGCACTGTAATAAATAAAAAATATTGCACGAAAAACAGAGAACACGTATCATAGCAAATAATAATAATATATGCACCTGAAGACCACTGTATACAGAATCTTGTCTCTCCTTTCCAGGCAATGTGAACTTCAGGTCTACATGGATATTCTCTTTTATGTCTGAGAACAGGACAAACGACTTAGTTTGAATATCTCTTATAACACTACAAGAAAGTAAAACATAGACAGCACAGTCAAACACAATCAGAAGGCGATGCACCACAGGTATGTATATTGCTTGACCCATAATGAAGAGTCTACACACCTTCAAAAATGTCTTTGTAAGAAGGATCACAAACTACGATGATTTCCTTTACTTCAATCATGTGCGAGAAAGTGTAGAAACTGCAGGACATGACATACCATATCAGTAGGTATACAAAATAAATTCATTTTAGGCAATTCATACCAATGTGGTTTAATGTACCCAAACACTACTCATAAATCCTCTGCCTTTGAACTCAATGGGCAATGATTTGAACCCAAAAAATAAAAATTTTGAATTGTGTTTGGGTGATTGCTTCTCCATCTATAAGAAGGGGTTGCAAGTGAGGAAGGACGTTGGAGAGCTTGATATGGGGCCCCTTGCCTAACATAACAGCTTAAGCTTTTGGAACAATTGGTGATTTAACAAGTTCCATGTATCACATTGTAAGATTCAAGGATGCTACTAACATATGATATGATATATAAATCATTTAAGAGGAACATCCAAGTGATAGGAAACTCTTCTATATTAAATCAAAATCCAATTAGTGGGGATAAGAATTTCCAGAGCTAAATTGAGTTGTTGTAAGTTACCTATACAAAGCAATTGGTTGGCCAAGAAGCGGAAGATACTGCTTTGGCATGTTTGCCTATTCGCACAAACATAACAAAACCGTCATCTGGCAGATGAAAATTCAAGAACTGAAGAAAATGAAGAATTCAAGAATACTTATTGACAAATATACATGTCTTTGCAAATATATAAGGATCTTGGCAAACATTGTTTTGCATATAATTATCAACAAATATATGTGCACAACATACAAACCATGACTACATTCCCCTTAAAAGCAAGTAAAAAAAAAATTAGTGAAGCTAATAAAAACAACTGTACTCATGCAGCACAGACATCCCAGAAAGTCAAAACTGCATCAATACCCCTTGTTTTGCAAGATATTATCAAAAAAAAAAAAAAAAAAAAAAAAGATATTATCAAAAAAAAAAAAAAAAGTGAAAGGAAAGAGGATTCAACTTCTATTACAATGCAGAAGCTTATGAAGTTAGGTATTGAAGAATCCCTATGTTGGCTGCTTGTGATGGCTTGATAAGTCTGAGCAAGTTCACTTTCCACTACATTTATATAAAAGTTCTACACAGGTATCATGCTCAAAGATTCAATGCTCAACAGAATATATAACCCTTGGTGGAGCAAACAATCAAATATGCCTTGTCTGACAAAATCAAAATATTGACCAGATATTGAATTACTGACTACTGTCACACAATATTCAACTCTAGTCCAACTAATTTGAAGTTTGGGAAATTCCACCATGTCATGGGTTGCATATCAAAGCTCAAACTTGTAGCCGGATATTGCAATACTTAACTTCATAGCAAAATTTTAATGGAAAATTCCTCCATAGTTGATAAACCCAAAATCATTCGAGTGCCCTGTATGGCATTCTCCAATCTGTTGCCTGCTACATGGCACATCTTATGCTAGATGTGAACTGCAAAATTGGGTACTGACTTGGAAACACAGTCATGCACATGTAAGCAAATGATGGAAGTTTATGGTATTTTGTTTGCATGTAAGGATGAATATACACATATATATATATATATATATAGAGAGAGAGAGAGAGAGAGAGATTTAGGTTAAAAAAATAAAGTGGAGAAGACTTGGGAGGAAGTGGTAACTCACAAGGGAATTAATTTAAATTTTGCAGTCACTGATTAATTCATTCAATCCACAAATGGGTATTTTCTTCGAAAATAGCAATAATGTCTGTACAAAAATGCTACCAAAAGTTGTGAAGTCACTTGAATTTTATTTTTGTACTGAAAAGTATCAATCTAGGTAGATAACAAGAAAACAATAAAATTTCCTGGCCATTTAGCAAACCCATCTTCTCCTGACAGATTTACTTATAGGTTATAAGGTGATATTTCAAATTGCCATGAATAGTAAATGAGGACAAGCTGTTTAGGCCATCTCTAGCCCTTAGTCAAAATTTTACTCAAATTTCAATAAAAAATTGAGTAAAAGCTTCATTTGATATGAACCACCCCAATGGACAAAGGCATAATTAAGCATAAATTTGAGTAAAAGGTTTTTATTCCAGAGTCAGATTGGCGAGACAACTTCTTCAATGCTTCAACTTACATTCCGAGGAAGACTTTCCCAGCAATGGAAGCAAAGATTGAGAGGTACTTTGATAGCATCAAAAAAGGTAGGTACCTTCTAGTTCAGCTTTGTCATCTAGCTCAGGCAGTTCAAAATGAAAAAGAGGTTCCAACAATGAGAAGACTCCCAGGAAGGGGGGGTTGTTTGGGAAGAGAATAAAATAGCCAAAAAAACCCACTAAAAAAGCTAAAAGAAAAAATATATATATATAAAAAAAAGTTAAAGATTCCTTCCATTCCCTTTATTTTTTTGCACTTTTTCCGTAGAAAACCAAAAAATCATTTCCTTGTGTTTGGTAGTTTTAGAATTATGATTTGAGAATAGAGTTATATTTTGAGTTTGTGTGTTTTGAAATTATGATTTGAGTGTGAAAAATTTGTTTGATTATGAGTTTTGAAAAGAGTTTGAATTGAGTGATGTGACACATGATATTGAAAAGTGGATGTTTTGAAACGTGTTTTGAAAAGTGGGTGTGTAATTAATTTTCTAAAGCTATAACCAAATAACACTCTCAAACTAAGGGATATAATTAAATTTCAAAAACTCTACCAAACAGATCAATTTTTTTCACCTCATATTTTAGCAAAAAAGTATAAAAAAGCCACTTCCCAAACCAACCCTAAAAGCTTCACTAATGGCAGAGTAGTAAAATAGAGAGCCACAAAACAGCCTTGAAAAGTTTGAGTAAACATTTGAGCCTCTCTTGATTTGAGTAAAACTCAATTTAGTATATAAGTTTGGGGCAAGGAGTGGAGTGTGTTTTGAGTGATTTTTACTCAAATTTAAAATTGATAAAGGTTTGAGTCAAGGATTGGAGGTACCCTTAGAAAGCATAAACTTTGCTATTTACAACAAGTAGAACTAAGTAACTGCTCAAAATCAATAAATCAAATTCAATGAAAAAACATCCAATAATTCAATTTCTTAAGAAGCCATTCAAACAAACCACAATTAAAAACAATGTGTATATATGAAATCCACACCAATATATATATATAGAGAGAGAGAGAAGAGACTTACGCCCATCCTTTTGCCCTTTCCACCAGCTAAAAGGATGACAGAGACACTTTTCTCTTTAACAATTTCAGAACTCTGTCCAAAAAAATTAAAAAAATAAATAAAAAATCAAGTTGGGTGTTGATGATAAATGAACCAAGAACCACATGAACACATATACATCACCTCTAGGTCCACAGACTTGGCAGAGCAAGTGATCTTGGACTTGGAAAATCTTGACTTGTTGGTGGGACTTCCAGAAACTCGTGAATTGGGTAAGTGAAGAAGATGGGAGTGTTTGGAATTCAAGAAATGTGAGAGTGAGGGAATATATTTTGACGGAATCTTGAAATTACTTCCCAACAATACTGGAAAAGAAGCAGAAGAAGAAGAAGAGAGAGCGAGACTGAATTGAAGAATTGTCATCTCTCTCTCTTCCCCACAAAGATTTCCGATGCCTCTCTCTCTCTGCATATCTATCCATACGGAAGAATTTATAGTTTAATTTTTAAAATTTATTTTTTTTTATAAATCCTAAATCCTAAAATAAAAATAAATAAATTTTAAGAATTAAACCTTAAAATAAAATAAAAAATTTATCCCTAAACAGTAAAATAAAAAAATTAAGAATTAAAATAAAAAAGTAATTATTTTATATAGTTAATTATTATTTATTATTATAAATTATTATATATATTTAATATTGATTTCAATTTTATGAAATAAAATTTATATATATATATATATTTAAGTGTGATTGTGTGGGAGTCATGTGTGTGTCTGTCAGAGAGTGAGAGCCAGAGAGTTTGTGTTTGTGAGTGAGTGGGTGTGCTTGGTGCATTATTGAAATAACGGTTTTTAACTACGTTTTTTTTATAATATAATTTAATTAAGAGAGTGTGATTAGAAATCATGTTTTTTTGAAAAAAAAAATATTTTACTTAAAAGTGTGATTTGAAATCACGTTTTATAATTAACTTAAAAAAACGTCTTCTTAATTAAAAGTATGATTTATAACCACGCTTTTATGATTTTAGAAAATTTTCGAGCGATAGCTACAAAAACGATCAAAGCGTGATTCACAATCACGTTTTAACCTAATTTAAAAATTCTGTCCAAATTAAATCTAATTTGAGAAATAAATGACTAATTTAATTTGGAAAATGTCCTTACGGAAGAAGCTTGAATAAGACAAGGTTGCGTGAAGCAGGTGATGAGTCTGGTATTGTTGGGAATATCGCTGAACATGCCCAAAGCAAAACAAAAAAAAAAATTGTGAATATTGTTAGGATATATGCTACTGTGAATTAAAATAATACGTTACTACCAAGTAGAATAATATGTTATTGTTATTATTTATATCAATTTTAAAAGTAATAATTTTTTATTTTTAAAAAATTTTTATAGTCAATATCAATTTTACTTGATAAATCTTGATAAATCTTGATGAAAGAATTTTAAAAATATTAATTTTTATTAAAAATTGACATTTGTATTATTTTAAAGTTTAATATTTTGATCATAGTGATATTTGTTAAAATTTTCAAGAAAAATTTATACTTGTCTTTAATGCATTAAAATTTTATTATGATAGGATTTTGACTATTATTGATGGATTTTAAAAATTAAGGTAAATTACTAATACACTCCCTGATGTTTATTTAAATTACAAATTATCCTTTGTAATTCTAGAAATTACATTATGCTCTTAAAATTTTTAATTTCATAACAAATAGGTCATTTTATTAATAAATCCTCAAGTTAATTAACAATTTTTAATAATGTTAAAATTTTATTTCAATTAATAATTTAGATAATTTTATTACTCCTTCCGTCCCAAAATATTAATCCCTTATTCTATTTTTCATTTTCCCAAAATATTAGTCTATTTTCAAAAATTAAGAACAAAAAAAATATAAATTTTCTATTTTACCCTTCTTTTAAATTCATTAATAACATAAAAGTACAATTATGACATTGTTATTTATCAAAAAATGTATTATCAAAGGATAATTTTGGGAAATCATTTTTTTTAAAGTATAATAATTATACTACCAAAAAAAAGTTAAATTTCCCAAAGGGGACTATTATTTTAGGACGGATGTAGTGTTGTATAGGTAAACAGTTAGAAATTTCACTTTTTAAATTAATTCTGTTAAATAAAAAATTCTGATAGAGAGATATTTGTAATTTTTAAAATTATAAGAAACAATTCATATTTTAAGCAAATCTCGAAAGATGTATTTGTAATTTATCCTAAAAATTAAATATAAAAATTTCATTATAATTATATTTAAGTCATAATCTATATTTGCTTTTAAGCATACTTGTGATAATAAGGCGTTACTAAGCACTACAAACACTATTTGAATTCATTATTTATTGCCCTCGCTATTATATAAAAGGGTGAATCACGCTAACGGTCCTTATAGTTTAGAACTTGTGTTATTTTGATTCTTAACTTTTTAATTGTAAAATATTTGATCTTAAATTTTGAATCTTATTCAAAATAAAGACAATTGAAGATATTATTTGATTTTTCAAGGGTAAAACTGTCAATTTGATAAAATATAACTAATTTGTAAAAAATAAATGTCAAAAAACTATTTTGGAATTTTTAAAAATTATTTATACCAACTAAAGATAAAATTATGTAAAAGTAATAAATTTTTTAGACATTTATTTATTTATTTATCTTACCAAATTAATTTTTATTATGTGTTTGGATGATAATCATGTAATGAGTGATTGTTTTTGTTTTAATTAAATTAGTTTTTATTTTTCCAAAAGTCAAATATGACAACAACTTTGATATCATTATTAAACCAATCCGTTAAATAAAAAAAAACCAAAACTAAAAATATTTCATATATTAAATGTATCGATTACACGTAAAAAGTTTAACAGCTACCCATTACATAATCATCATCTAAACATATAATAAAAATTAATTTGGTAAAATAAATAAATAAATAAATGTCTAAAAGATATATTAATTTTACATAATTTTATCTTTGGAGTGTAGAAATAATTTTAAAAATTTTAAAAATATTTTTTTGACTTATATTTTATCAAATTGATGATTTTACCCTTGAAATTAAGTAATGGTATCTTCAATTATCCTTATTTGGAACAAGATTCAAAATTCAGGGTCAAATGTGTCACAATTGAAAAGTCAGGGACCACAGTGACACGAGCCCTAAACTATAGGGGCTATTAGTGTAATTTGCTTTATATAAAATGGTAAATTATAAATACATCTCTTGAGATTTTTTTAAAAATATGAATTGTTTATTGTAATTTAGAAAATTACAAATATCTTACTGTTATAATTTTTTATATAACAGAATTAATTGAAAAAGTAAAATTTCTAACTATTCACCTATACAATAATAAAATTATTTGAATTATTAATTGAAATAAAATTTTAACATTATTAAAAATTGTTAATTAATTTGATGATTTATTAATAAAAGGATAATTTACAAATACACCCCCTGAGATTTGCTTAAAATACGAATTACCTCCTGTGATTTAGAAAATTACAAATACCTTTTTGTCAGAATTTTTTATTTAACAGGACTAATTGAAAAAGTGAAATTTCGAACTGTTCACCTATACAATAATAAAATTATCTGAATTATTATTTGAAATAAAATTTTAATATTAGTAAAAACTGTTAATTAATTTAATGATTTATTAATAAAATGACCTAATTGTTATAAAATTAAAAACCTTAGGAGACATAATGTAATTTTTAAAACTATAGGGAATAATTTATAATTTAAGTAAATCTCAGGGATGTATTTATAATTTATCCTATATAAAATGTAACTAAATATCACAATAATTTATAATAAACATTAATTCAGATATGTATATCGCTTGTTTGTTTCTAGTTTTTTTGGTTTTTTTTTCACTAAAAAACAAATTGGTTATAAAATCAAAAAAATAAATCCAAACAAAATATCACATTAAACCCCATAATCGTTTTATTTTTTCTCTCACAAACATCACATCCAACCACAAAAAAACTCAACTACCTTCCCAAACACAAAAAAAAATTTCTCCAATAATATTCTACAACTAAAAAACCTACAAAAAAACCCACTTCCCAAACACCCACGTTATTTTCATACAATTATCTATGTTAGACTTATTTATTTTAATGATTTATTTAATTATGTTTTAATTTATTTGAAAGAGAAAAATAGAATCTAAAATTTATTTTATTCCATTATTTCTCACCTAAACCTTTATCCTGAATGTTATTATAATGTATTTAATATTTGATTAAATCAAGAGTTCAAACAGCCCAAAACAAAGGTTCAAACAACCTAGCACAGCAGCAAGCCAAAAGGTTCAAAAGGTTCAAGTGGAAGATATTTAAATTAGTAATGATGGAACTACAACAGCTATAAATGGCTATAAAGGCTTAAAAGGCCAAAAGGTTCAAAATGTTCAAGTGGAAGATATTCAAATTTGTAATGATGGAGTAGAAGATATTCAAATTGGTAATGATGGAAGTATAACGGCTATAAATTCAAATGACTACAACGGCTATAAACGGCTATAAATTCAAATGAATACAACGGCTATAATTTTTATTATATATATCAAAGCCTCTAATGTAAACAAGTTACAAAAAACTTAAAAATATTCTTTGATCTATAATCACTCACATCTATTCTCAGAAATTATACACTGAGCCTTATAGCTTTAAGCCCATATTTCCTGTGTGAGATTTACAGAAAAATCAAAGTTTCATTTTATATATCTATCTTTGAGAGATATTTATTGTAAACTTTCTTCGAAAGCAAAAATACCATTGCATCTTGTAAAAGTGTTGCAAACACTATGTTCTTGAAATCTTGAGAGTGGTTGTGAATCATCTAAGATTTGTAAGGGTTTGGGCTTGTGAAGTCTGTGTAAAATCCGTGAAGGATTGCTCCATTTGTAAAGAGGTTGATAGCACCCATGTGAAGCTAGAAGTTAGTGGAAAATCTCAAGTGAAATTTGAGGAATGGATGTAAGCTTGGTTGAAGCTGAACCACTATAAATTTGTTTGTCTCATTTTTCCTAATCTCTTTACTTTCCTACTACTGCTATAGCTATCTAATATTCATGTGTTAATGTCACGACCTCATTTTGCCTCTAGTAGAATGGTTCCGTGATGGCCAGTAATCCGAAATTACCAAAGGCCAACTTATAAGGATTCACACACAATCAGAGTATACATATGGGGCTTACATGTGCAGAAGCAATATATTTGGATCTAATTAGTCCATAAGAGCTGTGCATAGATTAAATGAAATGACATACATCTTAACATGATCTATAACTCGAATATAGATAAAAATAAGGTACATATTACATCTTGATCAAAAGGTTTCTCAAGTCGACATATACAAAAGAGGTGAAATACAAAGCCAAGAAGCATAATCTTCCAGATGCTAACAAAAATATGAATCCAAAC